GATTTTAGGAAGTCTGCAGAATGCTGAAGAATCTTTTTTTTGGTAGGCAGCCATGGTGTTTTCTTGGGCAGGAAGGTTTTTCAAGGTTAATTTTCTGCATCTTTAGGGACAGGAAAAAGATAAAAAAGATAAATCTGTGCTTAGAAATTAAGCCTGGTTAAGGACTTCACCCTCCATCCCCTTTTCCACTGACAGTACAAGGGACTAGATGTGACCTATCTTCTTGACTATGCCTCACCTTGAGCCTCTCTACTTCTCATTTCATGAAGCAGCCATTGCTTACAGTGTTAATCTTTTTTGTTTTAACCTCGAAGACAGTCTAATGGTACAGAAAAACTGAATTTTTATTGCCTTCCTTCTCTGTCTGGCTATTGTGGATGTGAGCAGACAAGAAACTGAACACAAATCCCTTCAGCTGCAAGGTTTCCTTTAGAGTCTTAGTCAGACTTAGTCTGCTGGGTGCAAGCAGAGAAACAGACAGCCCAGACTCCCAGCACCTGTGTCTGTACTACTGCCCTTCAAGCTTGAGCTATTTTTTTATTAAGAACTTTTCCCATTTCTTTGCTTCTGCAAAAGTGTTGGGTTTTATCAAAGGAATTATAAGTTGGACTTCACTGAACCTTTTAGGTCCCTTCCAAGACAGGATATTCTGTGATTCTGTGATTTACATGAATAATTTAAAATTTTTAAATCATCATATTTGTTTTGTACAGTTCTACCAGGGATTTGCAGAAATTAAGCAGGATAATGCTTCACAGTATAAAAACCTGATCTGTATTGGCCTTCTGTCTGCTTCCCATCATTTCAGACTGAATTTTAGTTTCAGTCTTCCTAGTCCTGTTGCCTTGTTATGCTATTACTGTTTTTTTTTAATATGGGTTCAAGATGCTTGATTTCATTTTTATGGTAATTCTGATGTACTAATGAAAAAGCAGCATCACTGACAATTTATGCTGCATGTATAGAATTTTCTCTTACTGAAGGTGTGCAAATCTGCTCCGTGCTTTTGGTAGGGCTATACTCACACCATGCCACTGTGCCTCAGGCTTCCCCACCTTTAAGAAGAGTGTCCTGAGCACTGTGCTCCCTTCTGTTTCATGCTGTGGAAACGTGTCATAAAGGAAAGCAAAAGAAGTAGAAAGGGCCTGGATATGTGGTACGACTGTCCCAGAGCAGGAGTCTTCAGGCTTTGGGAGCCTCTTGCATCAAATTCTGAGCCCTGGTCTGACCTAAAGAGCAGAGTAGGTGAGAGACAGAGTGGCATCTATTCCAACATACTACTTCTGTTTTCCTCAGTATTTTGTAATTTTTGTAGCCCTTTATTCCTGCCCTTGTTTTCCCTGCCAATTTTTGTAGCCCTTTATTCCTGCCCCTGTTTTCCCTGCCCCAGCCCCAACAGGTGCTGTTTATACTCGCAGCTCCCTTTGGACAAAGTGAGTTTGATACTTTTTTTCATCCTGCCAAAGAAAAAATATGTGGAAATTTTAATTGGCCAGAACCTTTCCGATGCTATAAAACGTGTGTGCTTTGAACATGGAGGACTGAGGTGGCTTTATGTTGAACCATATTGTGGCCTTTGTCCAGCTACTGCATAAGTATCTACAGACCTTATATTTTTAATCTAAGCATTTAATATCTGTAGAAAAGGGTTATTAATGTGTGATTAGAACAAAACAACAACATCTCCTAATCTATCTAATGGCAGTTGTAGGGGTTTTTTTGTGTCTTCCAGGTGCTGTAAGCATAGAAAGCTTTAGTCAGCCCAGTGGCCTGACAGCAGCTGTCTGGGCTTAGCTCACCCTGGCATTGGATTTTCCAGCCTGCCGAGAGCTGATTTAATTTGTTAACCCAGCCAAGAGCAAAACACTGAATTGTTTTCTTTTGAGTTAAGAGAGGTGCCGTGGCTCAGTCTGAGGAGGGTGAGAGTCAGTGCTCAGCATCAGGCAGGACTGTGTGGGTGGGAGCTGGGAAGGAGCAGAAGGGGACAAGGCTCCCCCATGGGCAGCTCTGCTGTCTCACTAACTTCTCCCCTCACGCAGGTTAGGACACAGGTTCATTCTCTGCAGCAGGCTCTCTCCGTCGTGCAGGTGCTACAGCACTACTGAGAGCGGCACTGACATCCACTGAAGCTGCAGCTGAAACAATAGACTAGATTTTGGCCCTGGGTTTCAACAGCTGTCAGAAAGAGCAGGCAGAAACTCTTAATTTTCAGAGTTCAGATGAATCCTCTTTTGTTTCTGCGTCTGTATTGGTTGTCTGTCTCCACATGTTTTGCTCAGAGCTGCGTATGCTAGAATCTGGTGGCTGCTGCTCTTTCTTCTTGATTAATACCTTCCCCAATTTACTGTCGTCTTTCTACTTGAGTGTCTTTGAATTTCTCTATTGTTTCTCCAGACCTGATCCATCTCTTCATCATGACAGACATTAGGCATCCTAATCCCCTCAGGTTTGCTCTATGTTGCTTAATACTCTTCAGTTGCCTTCTGTGACCTTAGTTCACTGTCTCCTAGATCAAAGTGATATAAAGGTATACAGCTTGACTGATGTGCTGTGTTATTTTAGAGAGGGTAATTTTTAAGGCCTCTTACATAAAGGTATAGTAAAAATATTATGCTGATGTTATGACAGCAGCATAGTGAGACTAGTGGCATGCAGAAAAAAACCCTAAATAACTTCCAGTGCAGTATGCTGATGTTTAGGCATATAGGTTAAAAAATGGAAGGTCTTCTTTTAATTTTTCAAGTAGCAGATGCTTGTGATCAGGGTAGCCAATAGTTCTTAGATCTTTGCTTCCTAATGAAAGTGTGTGTTTATAACCAAATGCTTAAATGTATCTATAAAACAAGAATTTCTATTTTACTAACTTAATAATAATAAAAAATCAGCTGTACATATGGAGTGGTTCTGCTTGTCCCTTTCCTCCATGATTTTTTTTGGCTCCTAAATTTCAGTGGTTTTTATGTGTTTCATAAAGTTTATTAGTGTGTCTGATTGTGTGTGGGGGCAACTGTATCATCTAGTCAGAAGAACATTTATAGAAGGGTTCAATGCCTGTAATATTTCCTTGCATGGGTTATTTAATGGTGTCACTTGAACTGACTTGGTTGATTCCTGTATTTATGATTTAATGGAAAGAACATAGCCAAAAACTTCTGTAGTAACACTGCAGAGGTCCTGTCTGTCCTCTTGGTGCTGGTTGGGGTATGTGGCGACTTCAGAAGAGCTCTTACTCGGACCAGAGTCTTTGTGCACTTCTAGACTGGGTGCCTGTGCTACCTTTTTACATGATCCTGTGTACTCCACACACAGGAAAACCAGATTTATTTGCAAAGATTTATTTCTATGTAGGGCTTGGTGTCTTTTCTTCTGGAATTCCTGCCTCCAGCTGCAGCTTTCTTGTTGGCACTGCTTGTCTTATAAAAATATTTAATTTAATTATTTTTAAAGAATAAGATAAATATAATTGATTATTCATAGATTTTTAGATTGCAGTGATAACTGAGGAAAAATTTGCCTCGCTGGTGGTGGTTGGCATGGACTTGGGTAGATATCACTAATATCTCTGACCTTGATGGGCAGGTTAGTGCTGAATCACTGCAAAAGCTTGCCTGCATTTTTTTCTTCTCCTTCACTTGTGCCCATTGAGCTGTTATTTAGAAGTGTGGGATTCATAATTTTTAATTCCCTTCCTTCTCAGCTAATATTTCTTTTAATCCAAGTGCTGTTTTAAATTTTTTTACGCCTGTGTATTTGCTGTGTAAAAAATCTGTGGGAACAGATTAGTCAGGACATGGAAGAGTAATGTGTAGTAAATAGTGTATCCTGCCAAAGACAGGGCTGTTTTTACTCTATCCTTATGGTGGGAACTGGTGTCTTATTACCTGTCACTGTTCTTTATAGAATCCTGTAGAACTGGTGATGCATTCACAAATTCATAGGCTGTCTTGTGCTTCCTTTTTTTCCCATATAGGCTTCTCAATAATTATAACCTTAGAGTTAAAGCCAGGCAGTGATTGGCAGTACTCTTCTTATGCCTCTGTTCAGCTGGAAAGTTACATTTCCCTTAGTGCCCATCTGTGTGCTACATGTTTTGGTCACTGATCACCGTATAAAAGTCATGCAGAATAAAAATGCATTTACCAAGAAATATAAATGGACAGTAGAAATGGGTTTCATCAGAAACCCATCTAGAGTGTTAAAAAGCAGGGTAGGAAAAGTGAAATAAAATTCTAGTGTGATGTGTAACATTCAACAAGTAAAACTAATAATGCTTGAATTAAAAAAGAAGGTTCAAAGTTGTGCCAATAATGAAGAATTTCTCATTCAGTATTGGCTTTTTTTCTGGCCTTCCAGCAGCATGTCCTCACAGTTCTTGGCTCATCAGTGGGATCAGACCAGGCCCCAGGTCTAGAGCAGCTCTGGTCCCCAGTTTATAGTTGGTGTCATCTTGTACTCCTTGGCTTTCCCTGTTTGCAGACCCTTGTCAAGGTGGCAGCTGCAAAGTGCCAGAGAAGGCTTGAAGGAAAAAGTGCTGTTGTAGCCAAGAGGGAATGATGGTCAGCAAGTGCTGAGCTGTCTCACTTGCTCTTCTCACCTTCCTACCTTCTCTGGGAATCCTATTGGGGGGTTGATAACAGCCTGATTCATAAATAATTAAACATTTACATAATTAATTGAAATCTGGATTCTGTCATGCTCTATTTCCAATGTGGTATTGTTTATTTTCCAGGAGAAAAGGAATAATTTTCCCTTGTGCAGTACTGTAGCCTGTCTATCAGCCTTACCCTCAGGAGGTGATTAGACTGTGTATTTTGAAAAGTATAAAATTTGCCTGATTTTCTTGTCTTCATATGAGACATTAAGAAAAAATTGTGATGGCTCTTACTTGTTGTTAATGGTCATGCAATTTACTACCTGCAAGCATATATACCATGATGCTTATGTGCAAAACATCTTCTTTATGACTGATATCGTCTTCTTTGCCCTTATTCTTTTATCAGATATAAGAAACAAGTTTCCCTAAACATGGGTGAAACTGAACAGAGACCAACAGCAGGATCCCGCTTAGGAGCTCAGGAAAATGCTGGGATCAGTACTTTGGAGCATGGACAGAAGCCACCTATGACAACTCCAGGAAAACTTGTCTCTATCAAAATTCAGATGCTGGATGACACACAAGAAACATTTGACATTCCGGTAAGGATGTGGAGGTTGGGGTGGCCAAAGATTATTCAGGCATTTCTGATAATGCATATTCTCAAACCAGTTCTCTTTTTATTTCAGCTGTGATTCTTTGGCTAATGAATTCATGCTGCAGAGAAAATTGTTGTTGTGTATATCAGCATTAAATAGATCATGGTGCAATATAATAGCATTAAACAGGGAAGTGGACTGTAGATTACAGTTATTAATTCTGTTTCTGTTTGAACAGCTTCAAGAGAAGTTAAAGTCCTTGGTGGTTTTTTTTCTTCAAACATTACATTAGTGTTTCCTCTACCTTTTGAACAGTTGATGTATTTCCTTGCTGCTGTTTTGCTCTTGATCCAGTAAACTGCAGATCTATACGGATTTTTTTGTCTTTCCTCTGGCAAGTCCTTAGGATATTAACTTGAAATCATCAAAGTTTTCAGTAATTTATATCATCACTCTTACAAGCACTGAGTGCTCTCACAGAAGTTGAGTGCAAGGAAAGAAGCAAAGCAGTCTCATCTAAAGTTTCTCTGTACCCTGTTGAGATTAATCTGGGTTTGTCCTTGCCAAGGAGACAGAGCTGCTGCTGCTGCTTTAGTGTGTTGTTGTGATCAGCAGAATCAGTTAGAATTAGTTTTGATACCAAGACCGATCCAGTATCACACGATCTAAAATCATTGGTAGCCACTAATGATTTTAACATGCCATGCTTACACAATTAACATGAAATGTGGTTGAACACTGCTGCTGTTATGGAAGTGTACTGGAATGTATATTTTTCAAAGTCTTCAGGCTTCAGTGAATAGGAAAGCGGAAACCTGAGTTCAAATTTCATCCTTTGTTACTTGCATTTTCTGTAGCTACGGTAATTTTCATGCCTTCATTGGCTCAGATTTCCCTTCTGTAAAATGGAGGATCACATTGATCACATTGATTGAGATACAGTGGTCTTGGACATATAGTGCCCTAAACTGTATGTTTAGGGAAAAATGTTACCCCTGTATTAACATGAAGGAATTCTGATTATGAAAATTATAATTTAAATACATGTTTATAATGTTTTTACGATCTGCTTATGAGGTTTGTTTGTCTATTTTCTGTGTGTACATGCAGACGCTTTTTGATCTGCTCTCTGCTGCTGTTTGTGATCCAACTGCAACTATGATTTTATTTTAGTGGAAGGTAAACTCTCTGGGCAGGCAGGTTGTGGGTGAACTGAACTGTCATCAGGGAAAATGCCCATGTATGTAGCACCTTGTTACACTTTTGTGCGTTTCAGAACACCTGTCAAATATCCATAGCAAACAGTCTTTGGGTAAAAGCAGTCTTTAGATAATTGTTGCTGTTCAAAGTGTAGTTATAGTTTAAATCATCAAACACTAATAAAATTTTGGTGCTCTTTTATGTGATATAAATATCTCTAATATTCCAGAGACAAGTTTGGCATCTGTAGATGCTAATTCACTGTATTTTGAAAATTGAAAATGATGTGCAGACACTTAACAGAAACCATTTCTGTTAGGTTCCTTTCATTAAATTGTTTAGGAGAAGATATAAAATTATGTGGATGCAATGCACCCTATAACTCCAGCTTTGCTTCTGGGAGTTAGAGAGAACAGTATTTTTTGGTCTTTAATATTAGAAGATATCAACATTTCATTTGTTTTTAACTTCAGCAGCACCTGGAAGACCTGGGGATATGAACAACTTTCTGTTGAGATCGCTTCAATATGATTGTTTTCAGAGACTTTTATTTCATAACCACTACTCGAGGAAAGCCCAGTTGGTTTGAAAGTCAGACCTTGTGGTGAAATATGCGGGATGCTTAGATATGAAATCTTTTACAGCAAATCTTTTCTAAAGCCTTTTGTCTTTAACCTATGCATAGTCAAATGGAGGAATACACATTGGTTTCAGTTTGCTCTAAAAGACATCAGTTGTTTTAGTCCCATCTCACAAAACTGATTAAGTTTTGATACATCTAAATTGAGGTGTTTATTCATGTTGGAACCCCCATGTTCCTATTTATAAGCTTCACGTTTTTAGCCAAATTGGTGCAGTATACACAGAAAAGGAAATTGATACCATTTCAACAAAGTATTTTAGGAGCAGCAAGTGTGGCCGTGGGCAGAAGACATTAAACATACATGCCTAAGCACATCTGTGGGTTTGCTTTTCAATGGAGAATTAAAGACTTTTTGCGTGGTTGAAGATTTGAACTGCGCTTCCCAAAACCTGAGCTGCTATGATTATGAAAATAACTGCAAATATGATACAAGTATAAACTGAGAAGGATTTGTGTTTCCTACAATTTCAGGAATTTTGCTGCACAAACCTTTCTGTGTTAGCAAATGAGCTATACTTTGGGTGGTTTTATTGATGCTTGTAGTGTGTCTTGTAGGATGGTATGAAGTTTAATGATGCCAGTTTATTATTTTCTCATGAAGTGTGCGTAAAAATGGAAAGAGATGCTGGTACTACTTCCTTCTGAGTTTCTGGGAACTGGTGAAGTAGTTGGGACTGTCAATCTGTCTGGTCCTGCCTCTGTGCTACTCTTGTTATACCTTCAGCACCATTGCCCCATTAGCTATAAGACCTTATCTATGTAGTATTTTTTGTTATTTATGTTATTGTTTTGTTTGAACGTTGTCATGGGTTTAGGTTTTTATTGTGCGCTTGTTTATTTTTTCTTGTTTATTGAATTTTAGTTTGGTTTGTTTTTAAATTATATTCCAGGAGACATGATTCAATATCCTTGCCCTTAAGCAATCCCTTTTCTCACATTGTGTACAGATGACTTGTTATTATGGGTGCCAAATTCATCAGATTTTTATGTCCATTCTGTATATAACAAAACAGGAGGAAAATGTGGCCTACTTCCATTACCCCTCAGTGCTGCTGCTCTTTGGGCTTTTTAAAAGTAAAGTAACTCCAGTGTCATTTGAGTTTCTAAAGGAATATTATTCTTCAGGTGTTAGTGCTTTGATGCCATATAATCATACCATGTTTGGCTCATTATATTACTTCTTACAAAAAAAAAAAAAAATTAACAAAAAAGAGAGAAAAGATATCCACATGCCTATGTATGGGCCTGTAAATTTTACTTTTTAATAGGAAAAAACCCACATACTATGTGGAGAGAGTTTGTATGGGAAACTTCAAAAACAGAAGCTACAATGAAGCCTTTTCATCAAATGTTGTAATTGGAATATTGTAAAAGAAAGGGATACATAAGAAAAACATTTTTATGCTGCTTGCTGTTAACAGACAATATTTTGTTGAAGAATCTTCCAACATTCCTGTATTCCAAAAAGCTAGTGAAGACTTGAATAGATAGTCCTGTATCCTTTTACACACATCCATTTAGCTGGTTGGGTACACATGCTTGAAGGAGGTGGAGGAAAAGTAGGCGTTGCTGTTTAAAAAAAATTGATTACATTACTTTAACTTTGTATTGCCTGCCTCTAACCTGTAAGGAAAGTACAAAATTCATTAGTTATCTTTTTTGAGCGCATTTTTGTCTCTTCAGCTATGAGAAGAAAAAATATATAGAACATCCTTCCCTCTTTTAAGTTACTCAGCATTTTATGACTGGGTGTCTGTACGTTTAGTTTTTTGTCTGCCACAAACTCTCAGACAGGACCTAGATGTCAGCTGCAGTTGCAGGTGATTAGTGCCTGAAAATCAGTCCACGAGTCAAGAGTTCATGAGCATCCAGCACTTGCAGCTTTGGTCATGATGTTGCATGCAAGTGTGGAATATATTTCTCCCCTGCTTTTTGTTTCTAATTTCCACTTTGGCTGCATTTACTGACAAATTAGTTAGATATGGTCAGTGGAGACTGCAGAGGTCCAAAATACAGCGTTCTGTTTCAGCCAGTGTTAGGCTGAGTTACGGCTGTGTGATAGAATGAGCAAATATGTTTCCTTTCTGCTAGGTAAGAGGATGACCGCTTTAGCTAAAATTACTAATATGAAGGAGGAAGAACATTTTCCACCTGTGTACACACAATGATAATCACATATAGATAGATCTTGGGCATTTTGAAAGGTTGGCACTTCAACCTGAAGACTTGCAAAACCCCACATTGCAAAACAGAGGTTGTGTATTATATAATAGAAGGTGGAGATGTACAGTTCTGTACTGCTTGATTTTCCTCTGCTTTTATTTCTCACCTAAGTTAGTTGAAAGAGAACATGATTGATTCCATAAAGCCATAGCAGAACTTAGATTATCATATCTTTGTTTTGATATGATCTCCCCTATAGATTCAAAGCAGTTTAAGTGAAAATGAAATACAGTTTTTAAAGAACAGTAAAAATAGCTGATGATTGCATCTACTTCAGATCCTTCTGGGGAAAAAAAAAACAAAACTCTTTCATGTTTATTGTCTATGCCATTTATATTATATTTACTTTTATAGTTGTTTCATTGCCAGCAGTAATCTGTTTTAAAACTACTCCTAAATGCAGAGTCAGTGTTGTTGCTGTCTAGGTAATGCTGAAGACAAGACTGATTCTCTTGTTAGACTGCCAGGGTGATTTTGTGACTCAGACCAGGTTTAACCCTGACTGATACGATGCTTGCTGCTGATCGTGTCCTACTCTCTGGGTGAATGAAGCTGATGTGACTGGGATGATACTAATGATGCTAAATAGCAAGTAAGAGCTGTTTCTTTCTTTTTGGCATCAAAGGTGAGATCAAAGTATATCACAGGAGGTTAGGATTCTTCTTTTGGTTAGGATCTGATCCCTTTAATTAAAACCAAACCAAAGTCTTCTTTATTGTGTCTGCAAGAGAATAGTTGTTTCCTTTTTGTGGCTGTCCGATTGCCTGTCCGATTACTCAAGTTTATTAAACATCTGTTTTTTGTATTGTGTCAGCTTCCTTTCCCTTTGAATGTATTCAAGCTTTGTGAAATATGCAGGGTTGGAAAATGTCATCTGCTTTGGGGGATTAACACGGGTTTCTTAAGCAGCAGGAGTCTTAATAGAAAGCAGGGTAAA